GTGAGAGAAAAATAAGGTGTGAGACCCACTATTTTTTCCTTTCAATGTTTCTCTTCAAAAGTGAAGAGATTTTGAAAGTAAAACTTTTTTTCACCATCTACCCCCTCTCTCTCTCTCTCTTATTTATTTTACACTTTGACTCTCAAGAAACTACTTAATTATATTAATTTAATTTTAATTAAATAGTTTAGTTTATAATTTTTAGCTTTTATGATTATGAATTACATTAATTTAACTATTTAATTAAATAATTTGGCTATTGACTATATCAAGTGTCCAAAATTACATTAATTTAATTTTAATTATTTGATTTTAAAATATAATATAAAAATATATTTCTTAACAAATAATTTGATTTTAAATTAATTTAATTATGTTAATTTTGATATAATTTTTTCTTTCAATTTATTTTCAAAATATAATTACATGAAATATGATATATTCTGATATAAAGGCATTATAATGATTATGATATCTGTTTATTTTCTTTCCTCTATATTTTCTCCTATCCATCCAAATAGGAGGAGTAATAATGTTTTCTTTTTCTTTATTTTTTTTTCTTTTATTTTCTTTCCTCTCAACTCTTCTTTCCATCCAAACGAAAAGTTAATGTTAACTTTTTACATTCTCTTACAGTGTTTTCATATAAATTTGTTACACTACATGTGTATCCAAAAATAAATTGTTTTGCCTGTATTAATTTTGCAAAGCACGGGAGGATGCATGACAATTTTTTCCCCCTTACAGGAATGCATTTGCTTTACAGGGATGAAGAGATAATAATTTCCGTTGTATGAGTTTGCCCGTAATGTTTTATCAAAATAAAATGAATTCATTTTTATTAATTTGAAGTACAAATAAGACATGAATTAATTAAGATGAAATTTGTTTGAGATAACTCCAATACATTATTACCTATTTTCAAACAATTAGTGTGAACTAACAGGTTTTGAATTAGAGAAAGGGGGGGGGTGAGCTAGCTCACAGTATGATGCATGAATCAAGCATTCAAGCTTCGAATTTTCATAATGTAATAACTTCCATCAGTGACAGACCCAGAAAAGTTAATTAGTGGAGGCAAATTTTGGACTAAATACAAATATCAAAATTTATATAAATATATTTTAAAATGTTTATTAAATTAATATAAAATTAATATTTACTAAAGAATTGCTATATTAGATATATGTTTCTTAATTTTTTTTTAAATAAATGGGGTCAAATATAAAATTTTTTTGGGGCTGGGGGCAAAATGAAAATTTTCAGAGGCTGAAAGTGAAATTGTCAAAGGAACTGGGTGTAATTTTCTTCATATGAATGGAACTTTAAAGTAATATTAGTCATTTGTAAGTGGGGTGACTGGCCCCGACTATGATAGAACATAGAAGTAGGTCCGTCACGTCATTGACTTCCATGCACCAGCTATGTTGAGGCCTCCGTTGTGCGATATCTAATACTTCCATCAATAAAAAAATATAAAATATTTTTAATTAAATTTGATCTTTTAATAAAATAATTATTTATTTTTAAATTAATTTTATTTTTTTATAGTTACTCCTATTAAACACCTTATAATAAATATAAAATTATTATCAATAAAGGTACTTTTAAAAAAATATAATTATTACATCTCAAAAAATTAAAAATATTTTATATTTTTTAACATTTAATTCTTTAAAAAATACCTTATATTTTTTAATGGAAAGAGGAAATGAGTAGTTTTACCTGAAAAAGACAACTATTTATAAATAAAACTAAAATTATAAAAAAATAATTATTTTGAAATGGAGAGGATAACCTGTGGATTTGAAGAGATAAAGTGCCTTGTTGCGCCTTATTGCTGGCAGGTATTACAAAGGCATAATTCCGTATTTTTACTAAAAAATTGATTACAAGAGTGACCTTTGGGTTTGCAAAATTATTTCAGATATTTTATTAGACATTAGAGATTTAATGCAAATATGTTAATTCTTAGAGCTTACAGTACAATTCTCCCACTATAAAATTTGAATCATTGGCTTCGTTACGACAACAAAAATTCTAGAGAGTACTTTTTTTTGCGCATGGGAGAAGGAACAACACATACACATTAACGGAAGACGGTAATAGAAATTAGGGATAATCACACAAGAATCACTTAAAAAATTTATTCATGAATAAAAATAATATAAAATAGATTATTATTGAAATAAAAATATTGATTTGTTTTTTTTCTTAAATAGAACTTGTTATTAATCATTATTTGTGAATAAGTTTTTTTAAGTAGTCCTTGAATGTAATTTTTTTTAAAAACAAAACAAAACTCATAAGAATTACTTTCATATATGCAAATATTTTGATATGTATTCTTTTGTTTTAAAATTGTATCACCTTGTGTCCTGAAAAACTTAGAGTACTATCACGTTTTACTTAAACTAATCCAAACTTTAATTGTGTGGAATTATTATTATCAACCGTGACTTCATGAATACTTTAGAGATATTTTAAATACATTTATTTAACGTGATTGTATATTTTAAGACTCGAACTCAAAACTTTAAAATAAGTTAATTTAACTCTCTTGACCGATTAGATTAAGCGTTCCTCAATTATAGTAGTACATATTCTTATTACATAAGTAACAATTTGCCACTGACATGTACAGTTATGACCAGAGTATGATTTAGGATAGCACCTCACCAAAAGTAAAGATCCATAAAGATACAGAGAAAAAGGAGAACCTTAAAATTTTATTGGTTAGAAATCTTCCCACTTTTAAATGAAGTGGGACTTAGCAAATCATCTTCCAAGTCCAAGTCGAAAAAACTCAGGCAGACAACGATGAGTACAATAACAAGTGTTGTCGGAGCACCTTCCACTAGCGTTGGTCCCAAATTCGTCCGAACATTTTTGCTTGCAATTGTTATTGGCGTTGGGGCAACCCTGATGGCCATATTTAAGAGGACAAATTTTTTAAAATGGTAAATATTTTTACTATTTTTAAGAGTTTTTTTTTTTTTTCTAGTTTTCATTCATCCTTATTTTTGCTTTCAACCAATTGTATCATAAGTGCACGCCTGATGCTTAACCACTTGATCCAAAACTGTCCACCGGACTTACGACAAACTGATAACATTATGTGGCCCAAGGTCCAAACATCTGGGCTAGGCCCAATGAACTAACACTCACCAAATTTAAGAGCTTTTATAAATATAGCTAACTATGACTAATAAGCGTTAACTTTAGTGGAAGGAATTATAACTGTATAAATATAAATTTTTGAATTTGAATATGTGTGAACATAAAAAATGCCTTCGAGAAAGTTATTATTATTGGACCCAACAATGATCCAATTTGAACCAATCAAATATTTATATAAAGTTTTTAAAAATATAATTTTTGGTCCTTGCACTTTTTTTTATACTTTTTTTTTTATATTTTAGGTTCCTATATTTTTATTTTTTAGTATTTTAGATCTCTAAATGAACAAAGTATAAGAACCTTGGATGGACCCAAAATATTAAAAAATAAAATTATAAGGATCTAAAACACAAAAAAAGTATAAAAACCTTTAGCAAAACATAAACAAAATGCAGAAATTAAAAATTATGTTTTTCTTAAAGTTTGCCCAAAAAAATATCTATATAAAAAAATTAGGCTTACTTTAATAATTCACTTCACTTTACATGAGACCCTAACTCGTGTTTAATAAAAATGATTTTGAGAGAGTTGCTCATAATTGAACTTGATGAAGATCAAATGTGACCCGATCATAAAAATTGAACTTGATGAAGATCAAATTTGACCCAATCATAAATGAGTGTGTGCGTGTGTGTTAAGCTTACTTTAGTGATTCACTTCGCTTTACATGACACCCCATTATGTGTTTCATGAAAATGTTTTTAAGAGAGCTGCTTTTATAACGATTGAATTTGACACAATGAAACATTCCCTCCATCTTAAATTATAAAATATTTTTAGATAAAATTTCACATACCAATAAAGCTCATTAAATATACTTTACAACCTTACATTTTCAAAGACAAAAATATAAAATTTTAAAAATATCTTTTATTTAATACTTCATTAATGAAGGAATATTAAGTAGAGAGAATATATGAGAAAAGTAAATTTAAAAAAGTATCATTAATAAAAATTTATTTTTATCAAAGTGTCTTTTATTTTGGGATACTGAATCTTTTTCAAAAGTATTTTATAATTTGGGATGGAGGGAATATATCTATTTAAAAACTATTAAACTTTTTTTTAATGATTCACTGTGCTTCACTTTACATGAGACCTCACTGCGCGTTTCATTATTTTGAGCACCTATTGACCATCAATCACAATTTAGTGATCAACACAGACTTGTAGTGCACAACTTCACATTCTCTTAATCATTTGGGTTTTCAACAAACACAACCATTATTAGCAGCCTTAACCCCACTATTAATATTATAATTAAACGGAACTTTAATCATTTGATTTTTCCACTTAATATTAAATAGAACATGATTGTGTTCGCAAACAATCATTTCCAACCAATAATATATTTTTTTCATTGCGACCAGACAATCCAATTTGAAAAGCTATTGAATATTGAATATACATCATTTCCAATAATATATTTACTGCACTGATGTGATGGGCTATTCTTACCCAAGGATTGTTGATTTCTAGTTCTCTCTCTGTTTGGGCTTTGGCCTCATTGTGTAATAAAAAAAAGCCAGAAGACAAATTAACGAGACATGCTCCTTTTTTTTGTTTTCGGTTGCCCACCTGGTTCATCATAGCTTTATCCTGACTACATTCGGATCCAACTCATGTTGCGTACCTAGTTTTGGTGGATGAGTCTCCCAGTAAGAATTTTTTTACATACATAAAGCTTGAACTTGAGACTTTACTTAAGTGGAACTAAATTGTTTATCACTCGGATCAACTTTCATTGGATATAACAAATCAAAGACTTAATTTATTGTCATTCAACACAAAAGCTTTAAAAAAGCAATTCTGAACTCAAATTTCATCAAATACAAATATTATTTCACAATTCACACCAATCCATCATAGCAATCAAGAAGAAACACAAACTGTCAATAAACATACATCCACATACATGGTTATGATAGCAACCAAATGAAAAATATTGACATAACATACATAACATAATTGAAAGCCATTATTAGTAGTTTGTGATCAATGTAAACTTTGCTTCAGAAGCTAAGGGCACTTGCGCCTGCCGCCATGAGTAGTCAAGTTAGCATAACAGGGACACATTTCTTGGTTGCCCGCAGTGCCCGGCGGTACACAGTTGCATCGCCGGCAGCAGGTTCCGCACGCTCTTTGGCACAGCCTCGGCCGAGATGACAACCGACATCTCGCGCTACAACCTCCTTTACAATCTGAAATTCAACCCCTCAAATTATCCACGCATGTTATTGTTCACATATATGATCCATCATCACATAAACATTTTCTCTTCTGGTCATGTTTATAAAACATTTGAGACATGTTTTAAGAAAAATTATTACGTTCCTTTTTTTGTTCACAAATCCTAACTTTTCAATTATATCCTTATTAATTAAAGGTAAGTGATGAGCCACCTTGTTATTTATACAAATGGTACTTTCTTAAGGTCAAATTTGAGATATTATTTCATCTTTTTGTTCGACACTTTATAATTAAGGTTATTTTTTTTCCCTTTTGCAAAACAGTGAAACACTTTATAAAATAGGATGAGAGTGATATATATCTTTATAACATGAAAAATTTAATAAACTATACTATCTATAACTTATGAATAATATGATCTATTTTTTTATATATACTCCATGCAATGTAACTAAACCTACCTATCTGCTGATAGAGAGAGGACGTGATGCTTTCCTGTTCCTGAAAACCGTAACAATGTCTAGATTATGAGTATGCATATGCCTAATATATAGTTATATATGAAAAAGAAAGATGGTAAGGGTTAAAAGTCATTATTTTTCTCAACTATTCACTGAGAAATATCTACATTCTTAAACTTTCATATGATGTAATTTTTCTCTTCATGTGGCACAATTTTCTTCTGCAACATTTGACTGTTAATTGACTTGAAAATTGTATAAAAGAGCTTAATTAAAAAATTATAGAAAAATTTATAAAATTACAAATAAGTACCCTAAAAAATTAATATTAATTAAATTTCCTAAATTACATATGAATAACAGGATATAAATGTTATTTCTTACCTACATAAAATATCAAAATACAATTTTGATCAATCATTATTTTAAGAACTTAATCAATATTAATTTTTTATAGAGTACTTATTTTTAATTTTATGGGTCTTTTTTGTAATTTTTTCAGTCAATTAACAGTTAAAATTAACTTTTTTAGTGACAAGCATCATTTTTAAATGTTGAAGTAAAAATTATATCACATATAAATTTAAAATACCATACTAGGGTTAGTAATATGAGTCAATTGCGACCCATATAGGCTGTAGATTTAATGAGACGGATTGATATAACACGCAAATTATGCAGGTTATATTTCTACCAACCCATAGGGCTAACCCGCCAGTTTTTTTATTTTTTTCTAATTTTAAAAATTACAAATTTACTTCTTGTCCAGACCTTGTTATTGTGATAACTTTCTTGTCTCTGTAGTTGGATTTTGTGGATGTGTGGATGGTTTCTGAATAGTGTTCCCTGAATGGTTTAATACTTTAATTCAATCAATATATTCTCTGTTGTTTTTTTTATGTGGCCACAAGATGTTATGTATATAAACTTGATATATTTCATTTAACTATATTACAGACTAATGATAGCTGGCAAGGAGAGTAACCTTGTGTCCAAATAAACATTAAACATCTTTAGTGTCTTTTTAAATGCGGGCTTCTGTCTCCTCCTACTCTCTCCCTATGCTCCCCGCCTCTAGATTTTTTTTTTTAACCACATACCCCACTTTTAGACTTAATCTTCAATAGTTGCATTGCAATTTGATATTTTATTAAACAGTTATTATAATATTTAGTAAAAAATAAAACATGTGGTCACTGGAGAGACGAGTTGTGACTTGCGACTTGCTGGTTGATGTTGAACGACAAAACGAGTGAGCAAGAAGGAGTCAAGGAGGTGAGCAACTGAGCAAGGGTTTGAGAATTAAGAAAGCAATTCTATGGTTTATGTCTTTTTAATAAATAAATAAATAACTAAATAAGCAGCCACAAACTATACGAGGCAGGTTAAAACCAATTCACATAAAAATGAATCCATTTTTTAGCCCAACATGTCTTTTTTTGTTGGCGGGTTGAGCCTATTATCAACTCTATACCAGACCCTCTTGAGTGAATAGTTGGGACAAAATGTCATTTAACCCTTGTAATAAATAAGAACATATAAAGCAGTAAAGGAGGGAAGTTACGTACCGTTTGATGAGCATGAGCTAAGTTATGGAGAAGGAGGAGAGAGACAAGAAAAGAAGCAAGCAGAAGCTTTGAGAGAGCCATGGCTAGAGATCAGTATAGAGATCACTGGCTTGTACGTACGTACGTACTTGGTGAAATGTGAAGTTAAACAGGGCTGATGATCAAGCCTGTGAGGACGAAGGTATTTATAGAAGTGTTATGAAGAAGATCGAGAAAGACGATACATAAAAGGCGAGAGAGAGAGAGAGAATAGAATATCGTAATATGAATGGCAAATTAAAGTTCGGTGGGACAAAGGAGATGAGTGTGTTACAGTGATGCATGGCTGTACGCGGCGGAATATTTGGTGGTGGTACTCACTGGGGACACAATATTTGGTGGAACAACTTTATTTTCTGCTTTAGTTTTCTTTGTTGAATTACAAAACTAGTTTAAGCAAGGAATGAGTTGTATATTGTTGAATCACAAATTTAAAATATTAACTAATCTTTTTAATAAACATGAAGTTAGTTAATTTGATGACATGAATATTAAAGAAAACGGGAATTATGAGCACAATGCTTAGGGAACGTTGAAATTTCTGAAGCTATAGCTAATTCTATAGTGCCTAAGTTACAAAGTCACACTAGGGCGTTCGCATTCAGTGATGAGCACAGCGATCGTATGTGGACAAGTCATGGCCTTTTATTTTATTTTAAAATAATTTCTGTCATTCATTTTAAATTAATTTTTAAATATTTTTTTTAAAAAATATAATTTTGGATCCCTACATTTTACTTTCATTTTACTATTAGTTCTTGTACTTTTTTTTTGATGTTTTTGATGTTTTAGATTTTTATTTTTTTATTATTTTAAGTTCCTTTAAAGTCCCAACACTTTATTTATGAAAAGACCTAAGATAATAAAAAATAAAAGTATAGAAATGTAAAACATAAAAAAAGTGCCGAAACTCAAAGTTATATTTTCTCTATTTGATATATTATATTTATTGGTATAAAAATTATAAAAAATTGACATTAAATTTGGACTGTCTAAAATATATCTAGGTGATATCTAAAAATTATAAAAAATTTAATATTAAATTAAATCACTTAAATTATACTTGAATTGTCCAGAGTATATCTGGATAGTTAAATTATAAAAATTATAAAAAAATTAATATTAAATTAAACCTTTCGTATTAAATTTGTATTTGCTAGATTGATAATAAATAAATTAATTAAATTTTTTATATTTTATGAAAAAATTATTTTGATGAATGCAATTAAAAATAAAAATTTCTAAATTTAAATGTTTCAAAACTTGTTAGAGATGATGAGTTCCATAATTCTTATTCTTAGTTGAGTATTGAAGACAATTCATATTTAATATCAGAACTTTTTATAATTTTTATATTAATAATAATAAATATAATATTTAAAAATTAATTTAAAATGAATGATACACATCATTTCAAAGTAAAATAAAAGGCAAGAATTTAACCGCATTCTGATGAGCGCTCACCGAATGCGAACGCCGCAGCATGTAAAAGTCTGAGAAAAACTGATCGTACGATAGTCTGAGTTGAGTTGTTGATCAGTGGATGCTGATACGCACCGTTTCACCTAAACAGGCGTCTTCTTTCAATGGGCTGGACTGTCGTTCAGTTGGACGCTATCCAGGCCCAACTCTGTTTAATCAACTCAAAACCACTTTAGGCAGAGCATGTTTTTTACAAGCCGTGTTGTTTAAAATTTAGAACATTTTGCCAAAAAAATCGAAAACGTCAAATTCTTTTCACAAATAGTCTTATTAATTATATTTTAGAGAGAGATTACATAATAAACAAACAAATAGTAATTAAGATATATTAATTTTTGTTCAAGGGTAATTGTTTTTAATAAGAACCGGGCCAAAGCCCAAACAGAAGAAAAAACTAGAAAGTAAATAATCCATGGGCATGAAGCGCCCATCACGACCCTATGATAAATATAATATTTGGTTAAAAATGACAGCGTGCCAACACAGAATATTAAGTGGAAAAGCCAAATGACTTGGACAAAGCGAACTTGTGCACTCTAAGATAGGTGGGGACCGCTTCGCTGGCAAATTATTTTTTCATGACACTTAAGAAAGCAATATCAACAGCATAAAGTGAGTACTCATCATATTCTCTGTGTAAGTTATTTTTAATATATTTTATTAAAATTAAAAAAATTTTAAAACTCATTTAGTTTAAAAATTTAATAAATTATTAACTTTGTTTATATTAAATATATTTTTTTTCTTTTCAAAATTAAATGGAGGATAAATGAAAAAAATTGTGATGAAAATTTAATAAGATAGCTTATAAATAGAATAAAAACAAATCTCCACTTTTTGCTTTATAAATAGAACTAAAAAAGTTATAAGTTTTGGTGATACTAAGTGTTGAAGGATTTTCAATGTCTTGTTCTTCATCATAATTGAAGAAATGAGATTGAAAATGGAAAAGGGGTGTACGCTGGTAACTCAGTTCACAATAGCAACGAAGAAGCTGCAAGGTCTCGGAGTAGCAGCGGCTAAGGTATCTGCAAAACACCGAGAGGGAAGGGGATCAAGAGCAAAAAATTAACTAATGGTCAAAAATTACATAAAAGAACTTTAAAATTTATTTAAAAAAGATCCTTTACTATAATTTTGAAGTATTTTTTGTAATTTTTAAAGTTATTTTCTGTAATTTTATAGTCAATGAACTATCAAAATTAACTTTTGTTAAAAATATAATTGATATACGCTATTTTTAAATATTGAAAAAAAATATTATATTAAAAATAAATTTAAAATCCTAAACGGTCCTTGATTTATAGTTTAAGAGTAAAATTGTTATTTAACACTTTTTTTAACTTACTGGGCATTTATGGAAGGATAAAAATGTATTTTTGCTTTTAAATTATTTTTTGAGAAATACCTAACACTCTAAAACATAATATTTTCTACTCTGGTGTTAATTAATAGATGTTAACTGTTAATATGATGTGAAAGAATGTAATTTAATTATTTAATGGATGTTTGTGAATATTTAATGTAATGGTGGAGGATGCTACGTTATAATTACTTTAAGGGTCAAAATATTGCATAAAATAATTTAAAATGCTAGGCATTTTTAGAAAAATACTTTAAAAATACACACACACACACACATTTGCGCTTTATGAAATATAGGAAAATAAATAAAAACAAATTAATCAAGATATTTGGGTTCCCTCCCAAAAAAAACCTCAATTTAAAGGAACCAAAATGAGGCGGAGACAGCCCTCTTATTTCCTCCAACCAAATGCACCTTAAATAAATTTTTTTCTCTTTCTATCTTATTAATAAAAATATTTTTAAAAATTTATAAAAAAATAAGATAATAAATTGCATTTAACAAATTTGTTTGATATGTGTAATTTCACCCAAAAAAATGCCATACAAATTAAAATGGAGGGAGTAATATGTATGCCTGATAGGCCCAATTTCTACGTTCAACGTCAACCACATAAAATGTTTATCCTTCGGCTTTAATTTCATATATTCATTGTCAAATAGGGGAGGTATATAGCATGCTTTCACATAATTTCAACGCTGATTAAGATTGTTCAAAACAAATCTAGACCGATTGTACCAAACAAAATTAATATGAATTAGTCAAAATTGATTATAAATAAGATTTGATTTGAATTTTCTTTTAACAAAACAGATTAGTTTGGTTTTGTTCATATTTTTATTTTTTGAAACTTGAACCAAAACGAACAAACTTTATTATATTTATTTTATATATTTTTATAAATTTTCTTAAATTTTTTCTATTATCTAAATTTATTTATTTATAAATCACTGATAAAAAATCTATTATAATTAACTAAATATTGTCCATAATTATTTTTGATAATTTTTAAAACTTATAATAAAGTATTTTAGAGATAATGTATTAATTTTTAATAGCTTAGTGTGCTAATTAATTGTTAAAAATACTCTTTTACCCTCAAGAATTTTTGTTGTTGAAAATATTAATTAATAATGGTTAAAAATTATTAGTAAATATGTACATATATTGATTATGAAAAATATCTCAAAAATATTTCAACTTAAACAAAACACAAACCAAACCAAGCCAAGCTACCCAAAAACCAAACCAAACAGATTAGATGAAAAAAATTGAATAAGTTTTAAGTTTTAGTGAATCAATTACCAAACTAAACCTATGAACATGTTTACTGCCGACATCCATGGATTAAAGATTTCCAGTGTCAAACAGAAAAGTGTTGCAACTTGGACCCAAAACATTCTAGATAGGACATTACAAGATGGGATAAAAGGACGCTTGAGATGAGATGGGACATAATGGGTTGAAATTTGAATGTTGGAATGTCCCATCCCTTATTGAATTGTTGCTGTAACTCAATAATTAAATTTGTGTTGTGTACTTGATATTTTTAGTTGTTATTTGTATTGTTTTGAACAACAGAAATTACGTAATTTAATAAATAGTAGACTTAAATTATAATTTTGGTACTGATTGTGTTATTTTTATTTCTACATTTACATCCATTATCTTTGGGCTCCGTCATTGTAAAGTCAACTAAATAATTCCACTGTTTTGTGCAAACAAAATTTAATATTGACTCTTGAAAACCATTTGCATATTTTTTTTATTATTTAAAAGTTGTCTTTTTCAAGAAAAAATAAATTTCTAATATAAAAATTATAACAAAATTCACATTTTATTATTTAAAAATAAAACTATACACGTATTAGATTTTGTGCGATGAAAGCCAACAACACTAGTTATTTTAAGATGTATGTATCGAAGTTACCTCCACATTTCATCACATTTAATACATGTCCTATTTGCTAGTCATATTACAAAAATACATTCATAATTGTTTTCTCTTAAAAAAATCAATGTAAACAAATGCATTCTTGTAATAACTACAAGATCACATCAATCTGATATCATCGGCCTCTTCAAAATTAATATTAGCAACAATTTATTTTTATACTGTGTAGTGTAGCACATATAGATGACTATATTTTTTTTCACATAATCACCATTGTTTATAGGCTGATTCAAATAAGATTACATTGATGGCAAAACTCTTTCAATAAGTATTTAAGCTGCATGCTCAGAATTCAACCTTAAGATTACCCTAAGCTAGCTCAACCCCTTTACTAGCTTTTTTTTTTT